TGAACAGAGAGAATTGGAAAAGTGCCAAATTCTTTATCTTCAGAAAAGGTACTAAAACAAAATGACAAAGGAGGATGCAACAATAAAACAAGTATAATTTATTAGTTAAATAAAATGAAAATGTATGTAGAGTTAACAAACTTTATACTATAAATTATAATTCAAGGTAAAAAATCATGTCAAGATAATAAAGGCTGCTTAAAGTAGTACAATTTGCAGTGTATAACAAAGATATATATATAGAGATAGATAGATAGATAGATACATATAGATATATAAAAGAATATATATATGAGTATATATATTCAAATTTGTGGTACCTACCAAGAATTTAATATTAAAATTAAATATGAAATCTCCCCAAATTTCCTTTCAATGAGGTAGATAATATCTAAATAATCATCAAGTTATGTAGGATATAAATATTAATTATAAAAAAGTGGGAAGAAACATATGTTCAGTAGACTTTAACATACATTAAAATTAATTTTATAGGCAAACTAGACAAAATAGGGAAGATATGCAGACTAATAATAGACAAAGATACCCAATGAATTCAAAACAGCAGAAATTATGAACTACATTTTTACTATAGAATAAAAAATAAAAGTTCTTAAATATATATGTATAAATGTATATATTAAATATGTGCATACACACACATGCAGAGAGAGGGACAGAGACCGAGAGACAGAGACAGACAGAGACAGAGAAACCAAAATCTCAAACAAAAAATAAGTACCTAAGACATGCACACACCCTGGATATATATATACCCAGTCACTTTTAAGTAGTCAAAGGTTTGTTTCAGGTATAAATAAAAATTTTCACTATTAAAAATAAATTTAAAAGTCACCACAATGCACAAAAGCAAGTGAAAAAATATGTATATTCCATTTCTATAAAAATTTATCTAAACAAAAACAAAACTTAAATGTCACTTTTAGAGACTGCTAGATGCTAGCTAGCACATAATGCTATAAACTGAATTGTTTATCTTACCTTTCCCTTATAGTTTGTATGTCAGAAAAAACAACCAATTAACAAAGATAAATTATTAAGGATAGAATTAGAAAAATCAGCATTTTAGGATCCTTTAGTGAAATAATGGATTTTGGCAATGACCCTCAATGGCTGCTTGAATGCATTAGGTCTAATTATGATCTAATTATGAAGCAGTGTGACATCATTTGAAACCTCTGATCCATTTTGACATTAATAAAAGCATGACAACCACACATTATGTTGCTTCAAATGTGATGCAATTGAAAGTATACAGCTCCACATACAAAATATTTTGCCAAAAAAAATTAAACCTAAATTCAATCAAGATTTTGGACCCAACTAATGGTTTACAGGAAATAGAGATGAAGAAACGTATTAAATAAATCCATGAGCATACTATAAACCAAATTCTTCAGGGAAAATGATTCAATAAATGTCCAGCAAATAAACGATGAGGACAATTAGATTTATAAGGAACATTTTCACCAAATGCAATGTGTGGGTTTTGTCTGGACCCTGCTATGAACAAATGATTTGTAAAAATACCTTAAATGTAATTGAGACTTACTAATGGTATTGTTAATTATAACCTTAGACTGCCTATTTAGAAAATGCAAAAGAATCAGTTGGAAAACTGTCAAAACAAATTAATGTACCTAAATACACAGTAAAAATTAGTTTTCATGTATACTATTAACTACTAGTTAGAAGTTGATAACTGCCAATAGATATAAAAAACTTACAATACTCACAAATAACTTTACTAATACATAGAAGCAATTGGAAGAAAACTATACAATGAATACTGACAGCTATAAATACGTAAGTAAACCTTTTATATTGTCTCCTCCAATTGTTTTAAAATCATTGAACATTAAATACACTTTTACCTATTTAACGATACACCTAATTCCTTACTTCCTTATCAATCTATTAATTAATAATATAGGCAATTTGATTATTTTGGTAAAAAAAAAATCTCTTCTAGAAATCCCAAACTCAAACAATGAAGTATGTGGTTGCAGAATCACTTCCTTATAAGAAGTTGGAGAATCATAACTGGATTTTTTTGTCTTTAATGATTTGCGGTTGCTAGTTCTTTTGACTATTTAGGATTAGGAAATGTCCTTGGGTTTCATGATTGGGATCACAGCCTTTACCATTTCCTATGGTTTTGGCTCAATAAACACTAATCTTTTTGAATAAGGCTCACTGCTAACACACAACAATGCCTCATGTTAAAGCTTCTTACCACCAGCCTAGGGAATCTTATTATCCTGACCATTCCAGTTGCTCCAATTTGAGTATTTACATGATTATGTTATCCAGTTATACTCTAATCCTAACAAGATTTCTTTAATTATAACCCATTGTTCTCTGTACATACTTTTCTTACCATAAAAGAATATCATATCAAATCAATTAAATTTTCATGTGAGAAAGGGTATAAGGAATCTGCCTCATGTATATATCATTTCAGACCCAAAGATTTCTAGATTGGTGCCCCCAGTTCTCCCCATGTCATGAACAAATGTTCACAGGGTCTTTTGCAATAGAAAGCCCAGAACATGAGAGAAATACTAGTAGTGAGTTTCTTAAAGCACAAATGAATAGGAAGATAATGAACCAAACTCATGAAGTGCAGTGGGCTAGACAATAACTGTGTTGGCTAGAGCCCTGGAACAGAAATTTCTGGCTAGGAAGCAACTCCTTTTTACCACTGTTTTACATAAACATTAATGTTTTTTAATATGTCATGATTTTCAAGAAATTATGATATAAAAATAATTTTTAAAATGGGTGGAGGGGAAGAAAAAAGAATTGAAATGTATTATGAACATGGACCAATTCCCCACACTGAATATAATCATTATGCATTGCAAATATGTACTAATAGCAATTTTCTTAAAAATTAATGTCAAATTTTAAACTAAAACTATAATTTTATTTAATGTGACAGTTAATTGTGTCCATGTTAGAAAAGAAGACCCAACTAAATTGGGTCAGTATAGTTCTGGGTGTGGCTGAAGGGATTTCCTGAAAATAACCCGCCCTGGCCTGTGAGTGACACCACCCAAAAGGTTTGTGGCCTGAATAAGAGAATGGAAGAAAGAAATTTTGCTTTTGTTTCTTCAGAGAAGCTCATCTTTGCCTTCACTTTAGACATTCCAAGCCTTTAGTCTTATGTGGACTTGCATGGGAGACTACAGTGAGCTCCAGGCCTTCCACTGGATCCTTTAGGTCCCCGGGGCACAGGCAGACATTTTGTAATCTACCACCCCCGACTCTACGGGCAGCCATTTGAGCCAATCTTGTAAATCCTTATGTATATGTGTAAGTCACATGAAATCTGTTTCTCTAGTGAGCACTGATTAATACACTTAACTTTAAAAATAAGAAATTAGGATGTACTATTGTAAGGAATGAAAGTAAGTCTTAACTAGTATCAGTTATGGACTCTGTTACATAATGAGTCCTTATACATGCATTATGTGAATCTCCTTAATTCCTTAGATTTAAAATGATGGTATAGAGAAGAAACTACAAATTTTTACCGCACCTTATAGTGCACAACTGTAAGTTAAAAGTGCAATTGAAGTCAGCATCTTCCTATTTTACTTTCCTTTCCCCTATTTTTTCAATACAATCCACCATGACAATTTCAATAGGAGATATAAATGTAGACATAAAAAATCTCATTTTGAGTCATTAATCATTCCCATTGGAACAGTGTTAACTAGATATCAATTGATAGGGATGAAGAACCTGTCATTCCTTTCCACTGCTTGTATGTGTGCTGCAGTATGAATAACTCTCTATAAAACTGTGAAGAACATTTATTTCATACTAAATAAACTGATTCTGAGTAGGAATTAAGTGTTGCAGCCATCTAGCCTCCTGGCAGACTTTTAGATTCACTAGGTGCTACAGCTTGTATCTAGATGCCCTGCCAAGAGGCTCATGTATTCTTAAGTGGGGCTTTTCAGAGGTGGCTGGATCTAGGGTATGTAAATGTGATAAATAAGTTAGTCTACTGGTTGGTTTAGCATTGTTCTGGTGTGGGAAATGGGAAGCCCCTGGGTATGGGGGGCCCTAATCAGTAGCCTTGCAGACTGAAAGGAATAAAAGGGAAAGATGGAAGGCAGACTGCTGCTGCTTTCTTGATTTGATTGCTGCTTTCTGTCTCCCCCACCACAGACTGTTTCTCTTGTGCTATGCCATCCTGCCTTAGATCCAGCTGACTATGGACTGAACCATCTGTAAACTGTGAGCCAAAATAAACCTCTTCTCCTTTAACTTGTCAGTGTTGTGTATTTTGTATCAGCAATGAAAAAGAAACCAAGACACCAATCATGCTGAATTCCCTAGGACTGTCCCAGCTTAAGCACAAAGTCATACAGTCCAAAAAAATCCCTGAAGTAAACTTGGATGGTTGGTCACTCTATAACAAGAGTGCAAATAAAACACAAAAATCTTTTATAAAAGAAAGAAGAGAGCTATAGAAGCAACAAAGATGAAAAGAACCAAATTCTGAGGTGAGCTGAGGATTTTTTGCAGCACTTCAGTGTGTTGGCAGAGGTTTTGGAGACCTCATATGGCTGGAGTGACAAATTTGGAGGCAGAGGAAAACCAAATGCATGGTGGTTTATCCTTCAACATATTTGTCAAATTATGCAGGGTGGTAGACTAAAGATCTAAGCAGAAAACTTCTCAAAAACAAGCACAATTTCATGCAGATTCGGTACAGTGATGAAAGTCAAAGATCTACCACAGAAAGAAGTCGTTGGACACTGGAGGCAAGAGCTGACAGCTCAGGAAAGAGTGATGGTTATCCGAAGCCACTTTTTCTGAGAGAGTCATAGCCAATTCTGGACATAACTACAAGTTGAGAATCCAGGCATGGCCGTTGGCAGAAGGCAACTCCTGGGGCAGGGATGGGTTGGAGAAACTGGCACAGGTTTGATGCTTGAAAGGAAATGAAGAAAAAATCAGAGTAAGGTCTCAAACACAGAGTTTATTTTCTCATTATGGCCATTTCCTGAATTCTGCACATTGTCAGGGGCAACTAGCTAAAATCTTAACCTGAAAACCTGCGAGGAGTAGAACAGACCCTGTGGTCCGTCAGTGCTAAAGAGGAAAGAACTCATCAGGCTTTCAACTCTAAACCCAAAAGGAACATGACATTGGAATATTGGTGATAAAGATGACCTATGCGATATGAAGATAATAATTCAGTTTCAAATTAGCTAACTGGAGGTATAAGTTTGTTAGAGCTGTTGTAACAAAGTAACAGAGACAAGGTGGTTTAAACAAAAGAGTATTTTTCCAGTTGAGGAGGCCAAAAGTCCACAATCACCATAGTCACAGGTTTGGTTTACCCTGAAGTCGTTCTTGTCTTACAGATGGGATGTCTTTTTTCTTGCCCTCATGTGGTCTTCTTTCTGTTCTCTTCCTGTTTCCCTAGTATCTTTCCCTCTTCTTATTGGAAGCCAATCAGATTGGATTACGGTGTATTTGGATGGGCTTAATGGTCTGCTTTTAACTAAACTCTTTAAATGTTCTGTCTCCAAACACAATCACATTCTGAGATATCCAAGTTAGGCCTTCCACATACAAATTTTGGAGTGATATAATTCAGTCCATAATATTGGGATAAAGTTATTTGTCTCTCCTTATACAATATATTAACAGAAAAAAAAAACCACCTGCTCTAGTGAAAGGTATACATTCTCTAAAGACATATATCATTTGGAGATTCTATGACCTTTTTAATGAAAGGGAAAATGGTACACAAAACATTTGACTGAATCAGAAGTGGGATCAAAAGAGAGGAAAAGGAATACAAACAGGCCACATGGAATAAAAATAGTAAGATAAATATAAATCCAACTACACTGAAGATTTCATTAAATATAAAGACTAAATATTCTAATTAAAATATAAGGATTGTCAAACGAAATGTAAGCAAAAAAGAAAAAGAAACAGAAAACTCAAACCAATCATCAAAAGCCGCTATATGTGGCTTATAAAAGATATATCTAAAATGTAAATACATGGGAAAAAGTAAAAAAATAAAGTAATGCCATGCAACACTAAATAAAAGATAACTGACTATATTAATATCAGATAACATTTTAAAGCAAGAAGTATTATTAAAGATTAAAAAAACTTTGATAATGACAAGGGAAGGATCAATCCATCCCTGTTAATCCAAGAAAGGATTATATTTCTAACTCTGTATGTACAAAAGAACCTGAATCCAAGTAGATACAGAACAGCTGATAGAATTAAAGACAAAAGTAACAAAAACATAGTAGGATATTTTTACACAGTTTTACAATTTAGAAATCACATGAGGAGGTAATGAAAATTTAGAAATCACATGGGGAGATGCTGAAAATTGCTCTCCCACGTTAGAGCCTCCCCATCCGCCCACATACAGAAACAAGTTTGGATTTGGTTACCATGCCTAGGGAAGAAAGGGAACCCTGAGAAACCTCCATCTATGAAGCACAAGCTAAAATGACTGCTGAAGACTGAGGTTGGACCAGAAAAACTGAGACAGTCTGTTGACTCTCCTAGCAGAAGGACAAGACAGTGGAGAGAGAATCACTATATGATGCAGATTTTCAGGGCTCCTGAAAACTGAAACTGGAGAAGTACTAAAAAAAGCTCTGACATGCTCAAACCCCACAGTAGGCAAAAAGTATCTACAAGAGATTTGCAATTCGTAGGCTCTACAGATAACAGTAAAAACATTGAAACCTTACTGCTCCCTATCAGTAGCCTGATAAAAGATATGCGCCCAATTCCAGGCTCAGATATTATATGTGTGTCCTCTAGTAGTCTATCCATAAAATGCATAATTAAAACAACAAAGTACAACAAAGTAAAATTAAAAATAACCTATTATCCAGAGAAAGCAATAAAACCAGAGATGACTCAGATGTTACTCATCACACAGGGATATAAAAACAACTAAAATTAATATATGTTAAAAGAACTAGTGAAAATGTATACAGTATGCATACAAATGGGAATTTAACCAAACTAATGGAAACTGTAAAAAAGTTAAACAGAAATGCTAAAAGTAAAACATGTATCAGAAATAAGTAGGCTTTTCAATTGTTTTATTAACAAAGATACAGCTGAGGAGAAAATCAGTGAACCTGAAGGTAAGTCAACAGAAATTATTCAGACTGAAATACAAAGAGAGAAGGAGGAAGTAAAGGGGGAAAGGGAGGGAGAAAAACAAAACTGAAGATTTAACAACCATGGAGAGACATAAAAATGAATTAGAGTTCCAGAAAGAGTGACAAAGAATAGAATAGCAGTAACTTTACAAGAGACAGTGACTGAATTTTTTTGTGAGATTAGTAAAACAAACAAACAAACAACAAAAAGCCACAAATCTAAAACTCAGAAAACTATGTAAACATAAGGAAAGGAAAAGCCTAAATATAACCACTAAACTGTTAAAAACCAGAACTAAAGTGAAAATACTAAAAGTTGCCGAGGATGAAGGAAGAAAAAAAAAAAAGAAGCTGTATATACAGAAGGACATACAGAGGAAAAAAATGTATTTAAAGCATATTCCTTGTGTGAAATTCCAAAGAAAAGAGTAAGTTAAGGTATAGAAAAAAATCCTCCCAGTCCACAATTCCTAGCTAGATAAAGTATTTGAAAAATACCATAGTTTTTCAGAAAAATGAAAGCTTAGAATATTTACTTCTAGGAGGCTTACAATATTGAAGGGAATTTTTCAGGTAAAAGGAGTGTAAGACCAAATACAAATATGGATCTAAATAGTGTGCTGGAAATGGTACTAAGGTAAATATACATTTTTATTATTTATGATCACTTTGAACAATAATTAAGAACTCAATAAGAATGTGTCTGAGGTTTATTAAAGCCTAAATAAATAAAATGTTATGACAACAGTATCAAAAAGGATGAGGAAGAGGCAATGAAATTATCCCAGTCTCAGGTTTTCATAACATGTAAAATGGTATAAAGCTTTCTACAGTGAATAGCCACACAAACCAATGCTTGTCTGTATTTAATTATTATCCAGAACAAATGCCGGTTTGTCAAAATACCACAAAAAATTTGAGCCTTCTTGAAACCCAGAATTATTCATGGCATTTGTTACAATAATTTGCAACTTAGGCATTAATGCTAAAAGAATAATTAATGATGGCAGAAACTATTGTTTAGGCAATGACTGAAACCTAATAATAACCAAATCTTGTCATTACACATTCAAGCAAATTTTGATTAAGTCATAATCTCTCAACTTTAGTTTAAGTACATATCGAGAATGGGAAGAGATTTAGAATGCTATGAACAGTTCTGATATCATGAACCTTTAATATTCTTATACCAATATTTTATAAATAATTTTAGAAGCAGTTTTATTTAACATTTAGTTGATAGCAATGGAGGTAATACCTGAAGGTAATATTTATTTCTCTATCTACTTATTTGATTAGCCATTTATATTAAAATATTTTAGGTAGTTAAAACTCAAGTTAGGTCCTAATTAATATAAATGAGTTTTATATATCAATTTTTGATATACACAATATGAATATAAATGTATTTGATATAGTATCTAAAATTCATATATTTTTACCTTCCTGAGGGTTACTTTTCTTGTGATATGCAAGGATCAAAAGTTATCAATTTTAATATAAACCAATTTATCTTTTCCTTTAGAGTTAGCACCTTTTATACCCTGCTTAAGAAATCTCTCCCTACCGTAAGCCATTGAAAATGGTCTTTTGTTTTCTTCTAAAAGCTTTGTTTTACTATTTGCTACATTCTGCAACCCATCTTGAATAGATTTTGTGTACAGTGGGAACTTGGAGCTTAGAATTTTTTTCACATGAATACCTAATTGACTTGGAACTGTTTATTATGTTCCATCGTTCTATTTGTCTTATGCTTGTATCAGTACTACTCTACCTTAATCACTGTAGCTTTATAATAAGTTACAACATCTTGTAGTCTTTTTTTTTTCAGGATTGTTTTAATCATTCTTGGTTCTTTTTATTTGAATGTAAATTTTAGAGGTCAATGCCTAGTAAAAACAAAACAACAACAAAAAACTGGCTTTTGATAGAGATTTATAGATTTCTATCAACTTTTAAAAATGGCTAGTATCTATACAATTCATGAATATATATTCTTCCACTTGTTTAGATTTTTAAAAATTTTTCTTTTTACTATCTTATGGTTTTCAGTGTAAATGTCTTGTATGTATTTGCTAATCCTAGGCATTTGGTACAATAGACTTGAAGATGGAATTTGGGCAACTTCCCCAATTCAGTACTATCAAAAAAAAAAAAAGATAGCACATGGATTTTTATTCTTAGACAAAGAAGGAAAGGAAAGAAGGGAGGCTAGAGGGAAGGAAGAAGGGAGCTAACGAGGAACCTTCTCGAACTATTGGAAGCAAGCAGCTGTTAAGATACCCATTACCGCTTCCAAATAGTCCCTCCGCCAAATCTATCAACATTTTCCACTGTGGCCTCTGAAGCAGACATATGATTACAGACCAGTCTCCAGTACACTGAATCTCTGCTTCTGCCAGAAAGGACACCTCACCCCTCATCAAGGATGCTTGCTTGCAGCCTTACTGGCAGAAATTCAATCCTTCTCCCAGATTCCAGTGATGGGAAGATCCAATCTTTTCTCAGGCAAATCCTCTCTCCCCGCTTTAAAGTTCAAAACTAACAGCAGTATCACCACTCATTCATACTATGTGTCCACTATATAACACACACTTAGATAAAAGGCAAAACTGGTCATCCTTCTGAAGGTCAAAATCTCTGAGATAATGAGAAACAACCACAGAAAAGTTATTGCCAATTATGAAGGAAAAGCATAGGAAGATGTATGGGAGAACAAGCAGGATTTAGTCAGGTCAAGAGTGAGACAAAAAATATCCTAAAAGGAGACCAGGAAGGAAGGAAGCAGTTTGCTTCTCAAGGTACTCGCGAGTAAGGAGGAATAGTGCTGGGGAGTCCCACAGAAAGGGGGTGGTGGGCTGGCCATGATCATGCAGGCCTTGAGGGCCATGGTGAGGACTTTGGGCTTTATTCTAAGAATAGTCAGAACATTGGATAGAACTTTCAAAGTTCATTCCTTATCAAAGTCATCTATCCATCCGCTCACATTTAACAAAATGCTTTTTCTTCTGCTTCACCCTATTTCCTAACACATTCTAGAGAGCTTTGCCATCCAAAGCTTCTTAATTACTCTATATCCTGGCTTTCACTGAGCTTCACTTCCATTGCGAGTAAGTTTCCCTTCATTGTCCAGCTCCTGCACCTCTGAAAATCAAATTCCAGTATTTCATTCTTGGACTATAACTTCTCACCAATCCCACTTCTCTCCCATTCTCTAACACATATCATACCCTTCTTCTGACCTTTAAAGTTTATGGGATTAGAACAAAAATTGCTGCAAAAGTAGTTAAATTTCATCAGAATAAGTAAAATAAAATAAAAGCACACATAGGAGAAATTATTACTCTTTTCCCCACTCTCATGAAGGCATGTAGGTGTCTATACCTTCTTTCATGCACATATCAACATATGTGGGCTTATATACACAGAGAGGTGTTTCTAAGAATAAAAACCATGAATAACAAGCCAGCAGACAGATCAAACTCCTTCTTTAAATTGCTGCACATTTTACAACTGCAGATCACACTTGCAGCTCATCTCCAAGGAGGACTTCAACTGCTGTTTGTTGCACCTGATCTGCTACCTGGAACACTTGAGGGGCGCTGCCCATTGAAGTGCTTTCAGTGTTGATATTAGGGAAAGAACTGCTGCTTGTGACTGAGTAAGTCAGAGGACAAAACAGCTCCTCACTAGAAACTCAGCAGTGTAACAGGTCTCTTATGCCCCTGAGAACACAGTCATCATAACTTTTACCACTGAGCTTGCTACTGCTCAGCAGATGTGCAGAACAGGCTGTTGGCAGGTGCTGAGGGAACCACAGCTATGAGCAGGCAAGAAAGCTGAAGTGCATTCATGGAACTTGGAAGAAAAGATGACCAGCAGAACAGAAATAAGAGATGCTTACTGAAGTAGAACCAATGGAAAAGACAGAAGAGAATTTTAATGAAAATATAATGGAATTACAGAACTAAAAGACTTCAGGAACTTAAAAAAATCATGAGTTTTTAATTAAAAATTCAACATTCCAGCAACAAGAAAATGACTGGCCTTAAAAACCACACAAGTGGTCAGAAAAATCAGAGTGAAGAAATACTTCACAAGAAACAGTGACAGATGGCCTGTTAAAAAGGCTATGTCACATGGAGACCAGAACTAGGAAGAAGAAAGGAACATGGGAAGGTGCAAAAGTAACATAGATAATGAAAGAAATCTTTTACAACTTGACATCCAGCATCTTTTACAATCTGACTATCCAGCACCAAGAGAAAATGCAGCAACCTATTGGAACTATGGGAAACGAGCTTCCCGAGACAGTGGAAAGCTGGGAGCAGAAACACCTAGTGTTCAGGGAGACCAGGGCACCCACTCTGGGGCCCTGCAGGTACTGAAGCCTTAATGCTTCCCACAGGGACATTAAGCACAGAAGTTGCTGAACTTCTGTGTCATGTTTGTTACTGTCAACTCAGTACCAACCTTAAGGACTTTGTAGGAAACTTATCTCCAACATTGCAGGTACCAATTTTTAAAATGCCACAGACACGAATTACATTAACAAAAATAAAACCTAAGAACTATAAAAAAGCAATAATAAATGAGACAAATAAATTACTGTTAAAAGAAAGCATCACCTTATGAAATGAAATACAAAGGTAATATGATGATAGTTAAGAACAGAGAGTCTAGATATGGAACCTGGGTCAAATTATTTTACCTTTAAACATTCACATTTGTCATGCTACTGGGCAGCTCTGAACCACTGGTGGTACATGCATGACTGTCCCATTGGAGGCATGGGACTGTCACATTAGGTGGCACAAGCCACTGATGGGATATTCACACATGCACCCTTGGGTAGAAGCCAGAGGGAACATGGTAAGTGTCTTAGTTTCCTGAAAAGTGAGTTAACCCATGCATCACATTTAACAAGTGTTGAATAAGCAACTGCAAAGCTGCTGCCATGGCCACTGCTACACCCTGAAGCCATCGCTTGTCACAGAATAATTCTGGATTCAGAAGACTTGAATTCAAATGCCAGTTTTAAAACTTAAGTTTTATACTGCCATAATAGTTAATTCCTCTGTACTTAAAAGTTTTTTCATACTGAAAAGAATTTGAGTACTTGTCTCACAACACCCATCCATTTATCTATTCATCAGCATCAACGGGGCACCACTCTATAGCAAAGATTATGTAACACTGAGATAAATGTGACTAAGATACAGTTCTGCCTTTGAATTCCAGATCATGGTCTAGCAGAAAATATATAAGCCTTTCATGTGTGTGTATCTTAAGGATCGCTCTGCTTTAGAATTAAGAAAGGGTCATCTGAGTATGAGACATCTTTTTAGTATCACAAGTACTACAGTTTTTAAAAAGGCAATATTAAACCTTGCTAGCAACTGTTATGCAAAAAGTGACTAGCTTCTGATATTTTATATTTTGCTATTTTAAAGAAAAAAATACTATCAAGCATTTGGGTCACCAGGAAGTCATCCTCTGACATGAAATGGCAGTCTTCAGAGTGAAGGGACAAATGGGGAGCCTGCTCTAATTTTTGATCAGAGAAGATAAAACGCTTCGGTTGGAGAGACAGCTGTCTCAGTCCTTGGGCTGGGACCATGTAGTACATGATCTGCCTCTCTGAGTGACCTTTTAAGATCCAAGTGTTCTGGTGATAAAAATAGCTCTGAAGTCACTGTCCAAGAAGAGTCACTACCATTTGATCCTTGGTGAGCCACATCCATCCCTTTAGCACCCCGCCTTGGCACACAGCATGGGAGATTACAGGAAACAAGTTCTTGGTTTCTCTTTTATTTCATCCCAATAATAAAGATCTTATCCTAAAGCTTGTTGGTATTAAGAGTGCTTATTTTGTCTATCCCATGTGAATCATCAGGAGAAGAATAGGACAAGTTGTTCTCCTTTAATATGTTGGTTAACTCAAGAGGCTTTATGATGTGTACAACAGTATCAGATGATCCCTTATACATAATGAACAAAGAGGCTGTAAATTCATGGCGAGCCTAAATGTCTGTTCTTTATATAGACACAATGCACGCTAATGCATTTGTCACCATCAGTTGGCATTGAATAGCTATTACTTAAACTTTGTATTTAAAAATCTAACAAATTATAAAGGCAACTCAGCATATACGTGAAGCAATACTAAATATATTGACACATTTGGTATTTTTAGGAAGTATGTGATTGTACCATTATTAAAAATTGAAATTCAGAATATTTTTATTATATTTGCATAGCACCACAATATAAGACAATTATATATATTATTGTGAAATCATGTATTTGACTCATAATTGGCCTGGGTTATTAAAAATTCACTTGAGTCGTAGCTATAGGTATCACAAAGAATGATTCTGACTTCTGTGTACATGTGAGAAACAATTCTAAAAAAACCAATATATTTTTCAAGAGCTAAATGAGGATTATTCAGCAAAAAGGAATATTAATAGCTGTCATGTAAACTTTTGGTTACACAATAAATTATGTTTCAAGTGTCTTTACATAAAAATTCTAATACTACTATCCATAAATCATGAAATGTAACAACCAGTAGTATTTTTTTAACTAATCACATTTTAGACTTAATAAAAGCCTACTGCATATAGAAGAAAAATTCAACAATTTATCCAAACATTGTAACATAAGATGTTTTAAGAAACTCTAAATAATTCTTAATACTCTCATTTTGATTCTCCGACTTCTCAAGGCTGTGCTGCATTTCTTTCAAACACACTTCCTGATGTTGTGCTTTCTGCATAAAAAAGGAGAAATACAATTAATAATGGTATCATATCAAGGAGCAAGAGTTAAAATATAAACTGCATATAGGCAACAAATGACATTGTTTTTAATTTTTAAAGAAAGAATCCTTACATCTGATCTGCCCATTAACATATCTTAAAACTCACTTTTCTTTAAAACTAGCAATTAAAGCATAAATGTGGTTAATCTCCACTGTGATTTAGTTTGTTGAAACATTTACTTAGCCCCAAATCATTATATAACTAACATATTAATAAGCAGGTTTTATTTAATTAACCTAACTAATTTCCACTAGTTATTATGTTATAAATTCATTCTAACTTTTGTACTTTTCTCTACCAAAAAATTCATATTTTATTCCATAAGGTTACTCTTTGCTGTTTTAAAAACTGATAGAATTCTAGTTTTGATAACATAACTTATTTACCTTCAGAATCCTTTAAAAAAGAAAAAGAACTCAGTATTATAGCTGTCCTTTGGGAAAAAACAATTTTAAAACACATACTTTAACTTCAGTTGCAAATAAATTTCTAAGTAGATCAGTTCAGTGCAAATGCTTTTAGAGAAAGGATGCTAGTACCATCTAGCTTCCAACCAAAACGCAGTCTTCCTGAAAAGCCAGACCTGTAATGCCTATCAGAGTAGGTATTCAACAGTCGCTGCTACTTGATGAAACAGAACCCCACCCCCACCCCAGGAGAAGTGGATGGGATGAGACCTGGCTGCACAAAGCCACAGAATGAGTACAGTGAATCCTTATGGAGCATTAATCTTACTCAACTATTTGAAGAGAAAGTAACACAGAAAGTAGGGTAGAATGGAAAATGTGAATGGATCTAAGATAAAACACAAGGTTTCAAACACATTTCAGGTTTCAGGAAGGTTGCCCTGGCTTAAACTGTTCAAGTCACCCGTGAGTCTGTGCACCCTCTCCAGCCCTGGCAGAGTACTTGGGCAGGGTGAGCAGAGCACTGTGGAAGACATCAGGAGCAAAGTCAACTATGAGACAGGCTCTCTGGGTGCTTAGAACTCAGTGGGGTGCTTAGAAATCAATGCAGCACTTGACTGTACACTGAACTATCCACCGAAAGCTTACAATACTAGATTTTAACTGGTGCACACACACACACATTTTTTTTTTTTTTTAAACTGGCTCTGGGGCTTTTGCATTGAGCTACATCCGCTACATCCTCAGCTATTTTTAATTTTTTTTGTTTTTATTTTTGAGAAAGAATCTCACTAAGTCACTAAGTTGCCTAGGCCATGCCTGAAATATGATTCTCCTGCCAGCCTCCCAGAGTGCTGGGATTACAGCCATGCACCACCATGCTCTGGCTAGTCATCATGAAACGTTTGATGACAACAAAATTAAATAGTGCATGCCAAAATCATTTACCACTTGAGCCTTTTAGGTTTCCAACTTAGAAACGTGGATATGAGAAAAAAGTTTTCACAGAATCTTCAGCTTTTGGAAAAATAAAGTATCATTATTCTTTATGTTGTTACAAATAGATAGCTATTAAGTAACTTAATCACGACTAATGCTAGCTTCAGAAGTATCTTGTGCTGATTATTTCATGCATATTCAGGAAAAAAACATTAGAAGACTAATTAAACACCGGCAATTTGTTATTCTCATTTCATGGCTGAGAAGATCAAAGCATTCATCTCATATGCAGATTTAACAGTACTGAATATTGACTTAACACCAAATTATATCTATGATATAATACTCATTATTCAAGACAGATATAAAACCTAACTCATTTAATAGTCTAAATTATGTTTATCTTTAAAAAATGAAAAATTCATAACATGAAGCAAACGAGTAGGTTAGGGCCATAACTTTCATTAAGCAACTGTCATGCAAAAGCAATATGCAGGGAAGTGGTTGAGGAGCCTCGGAGGAGAGCAACAATGGATGCTACGGGAAAGAGGGATAATAAATTCTTTCTGACACTTCTACTTTTATGTTCTCTTCTTTATTTTTGTATTATCAATAAAACAATAGGTTTGATTTGTCTGAATTTGTACTTTATTTTAACTAAACTACATGGTATGAATGTTAAATGTTACTCATTTTTATGATTATATGTTAAGCCACACAAATACTTACATTGTTCATTTTGCAAACAAGTTGGTTTTGTTCTTCATTTTTTTTTCTAAGCTCAGTTTCCAGGTCTAATATTTTAATTTGCAAAGCTCTCTCTCTAGATGACATTTTCTCTATTTCTTCAGAAACCTGTAATTGTTATTAAGAGAGTAAAGTAACTAAATGTGTTTATAAAATACAGCTTGAAGTGTTGGCATAATCACACTGTACTTTTTTCCCAAATAGATATTAATTTCATGTCAGATGACTGAGAAATGTTTAAAAATATTCTACCTCAAAGAAGCACAAATAGGATAAATATCTATACTTGTATTTACAGTGTAAGTATAAGAAAAATTAGCTTATGACAAAAGAGGTGTACACCCTGTCACTGCTTTATGAATCAGGATTTTTCACCAACAACATAATTGGAACATACTACAACTAACTACCTTTTTCAATAGTATTTATATTTATCATGGTGCCCAGAGTAGCAGTGGAATACTAAAAGTTGTTATACACTGATTATACATTTGGATAGAGGGTATGATGTACATGTTACACACAAGCACTCACAGATTGGCTTTTCACTCACTTATTTCCAAAGTGGCTTGAATTTGAATTTTCACATCTGTCTGTTTACTTTAACAGAAAGCATTGTTTGGCTATATTCCTCAAGGATTTGGGTTATGTGGGAACACATTTGTAAAAATGAGGGGTGGAGGCCACAAGGATGACAGTGGAGGCTGTCACTGATCCAGGAGCAGGAACTAGTGGGAAAGAGTACTATCTACCCTAACCTTATGGACTCAGTTCTAAGTTATTACAAAGCGACTTAATATAAGATTTCTTCTGTGTAACATGTCAAAGGTGACTGAGTGATGGCTGCTAGCAGGACCTAAGCTGTAGGGGAAAGGGACCCCAGGACAATCATCCGTGCCCCTGACACTGCCCCAGTGTGGACAACAGTGAGGGAGCAGTGATGGTCCTCCCTGGGAAGAAACCAGAAAGTCCATGCTCTGTCGCAGCGCGAGAAAGGGCAGGACAGACAGGCCTCTAGAGCCTTGGGTTCTTTGGGGAAGGAATCTGAGTGCCCTTTGTAATTTCAACGCCCACTTAATTTAAGGTAAAAATCACCACTTGGTATTTTTTTTCCCAAAATTGGTGGGGCTGAAAAGTCTGCAATTACATTTCTATCACTGGCAATATACTTCATTATTTGACTTTTATTTAATGACGTATCTCTGAAATTCAGCTTACAGTGCCCAAGAGTTTTAAAAAAATCAAAATATATATGTGACATGTGATGTAAGAGTCACTTTTCAAGGATATCAGATTTTATCTTTCATCAAATTAACATTAATGGGCCTGAGGAGCACCATAGAAGAGGATTTGGAAAGAAAAATTAAGGATTTGGTTTTAGACAAGGGAAGTCTGAGATGTCTGTTCTGAGGAGAGATGCCAAGTGGAACTGGGTTCTGGTCAGGGGAGAGGTCTGGGTAGAGATGTACATTGGAGTCCATCAGGTAGTGATGATCAAGTTTTAGTGTCATTTGTCCTATGAGAAAACTTATCATCTGCTTTTATGAAAAAATTTAAAGTTCAGAGGAATAATCTGTCCAAGGGCTGGGTACTCTACGTCAGAGGCAGAATTCAAATCTAATTCTTGTTGGACTCCAAAGCCCACTTTTCACCCTTTTAAGATTAGATTTTCAAACTGTCTGAGAAATTTACTCCCTCTTTAAGGTCTTTTTGAATCAATTTCCTTCACCTCCAACTTGAGATAATTACTCCTCTTGATGCATATGGAAGGGAGCACACTTTCCGTTACAGCTTCTATATGTGCGATGATGGTTGCTGGTTCTCGTTTCACTCTCTACTGTAAAAGTGAGGACTTTCTATATTCACCTTTCAAATCCTAGCACAGTGCCTGACACACAAGGAGGCGCTGAGTAAAGCTGAAAACTAACCCAATGAATTTAACTAGAATTTAATTCTTACATGTATCTATGCAACAAATTTGTCAACAAGAACTTGAGTTTTACAATGCAGTAGATCCTCATCAAAACCTCAATTTGTAGTTACATGCACATTCAACTTATTAATGTATTTTAAAAAGGGGAGGGAGTCAGGAAGGAGGTTACACCTTCAAAGTATTTTCCATCTCTGCCTTTTACCTTACCGCATCACCACTTATTTGGTGAAGTAACTCTGTTTTGCTCTAAAGAAAAAGTAGGTAAAAAACCAAAATGGAACTGTTCCCTTTACCCTGTCATCAGGATAAAAACAGTAACTGTAGGTCTGAATACTCGCTGTTTAAAAAATAGGACTCAGGGGGCTGGGGATTTAGCTCAGCGGCATAAGTGCCTGCCCTGCAAGCAGGCAGTCGTGAGTTTGATCCCCAGTACTGATAAAAAGGAAAAAGACAAAAAAAAAAAAAAAAAAAAAAAACTCCAGTGAATTTATGAAAAAGTTTCTAAATAAAGGCCATCTGTACCTTTTGTTTGCCTTCTTCTAAAGCAGCTTCCAGTTGCCTGGCCAGTGCTGAATATTCTGCAGATTTCTCTTTAAGCTTCAGATTGCTGTGCTTCAGACATTCTTCTTGGGTTGCCAGCTTCTTCTCAAGTTCTTTATTCTCTGCATCCATCTGTTCTAATTTTCTTTTTACAGAAAATATATACTTTAAAATTATAGTGTGTAGGGAAAAAATATAGCAACAATTTTAAGTAAATTTAATACTTACTGTTTAAGGTTTTCACACTTCAACTGAATAAGATAATTTTCTTCCTCAATAGAAAGCTTTGTCAGAAGACTATGATTTCCATCAACCTAAAAGAAAAAAATTTTGTTGCTTTTTTTAATAATCAACTCTGAAGAAATCTACATATTTTATCATTAGAACAACCACAAAGACCAAGATTATATAAATATTACTTCTACACAGAAAGGCACCAAGAAATGATATGTAGTTAAAATATAGTTTCTTAAATTCTTGGTTAGTTTTTAAAAATTATACTGTTTATGTAGGAAAATCATCAACTAAAATTTTTTCTGAGTAATGATAATTAAAATACTCTGGGCAATTCTTTATTGAAAAAAGCTGTTTTATTAAGTTAAAATATGAAAAATTTAAAAAAAATATTAATTATTGAATATTGGGGGTTTCTCAGGCTTTTGTTTCATTTAAAAATATTGGTATACAATATTTGTGATGTTGTTAACTAAAACTAAAAACCATGTTCTTGTAAGAATCAAAATAAGCAAATCAACAAAAGCCACGCTTGTCCTTGCCAAGACAAAATACTCTTCCTATTGCTTCAAAAATATGTAAATAGCTAAAGAAGCTTCATCATCATCATCATCATCATCATCATCATCACAGACCTTTTCTTTTATGTTAAACTAGTAATTTAGGTAACTTGACATTTTCCTACAAAATCTCTTGTTGGGAAATTAAATTAACCAAAAGGTTGCCTACAAGTTTTTTTTTTTTTTAAAGATGCACTTTAAAATAAAGATGCAGATTATATTTGGAAGACAAAAAATTAATTTTTCCTAAAACTGGCTTGCAAGTAAAGAAAAACAATGGCTACCATCCTCGGACATACATATTTCTTTGAGAAAAAAATTGATTCAAAAGTATTTATTAAGTGCTTTAAGAGGACACACCCAATCCCTATTCTGATGGGTTAAAAAAAAGTATATACTGAAAAAATTGTTTGAAAATAATCTAAATAGGATTGATGCACAATTCTACTTAAAATATATTCTGATGGGTATAAGATAAATTACAATAATTCACCATAACTGGTGAATCAAAAACATGTTATCACAGCTTTGCTCCTTTTCTCACACTATTACCAACTCTCTGGTGTCTAATTATAGATTAGCCAGAAATAACCCAATAAGCCATTTAAATATCTAATTTGTCACCATCAAATACTACAAAAATAGCCTGCAAAACACTATTACACTATCTGCATAGAAATAATGTTACATCCACTGATGCAGGTAGAAACAAAACAAAACAAATTCAACCCCTGAAGTGAGTGCCCTCAAATAGTGAAGTCATTCCAGGCATTCCTCCAACACATGCTGTAGAACTCAGTGACCACTGGACACCTGGCCCTGCAGCTCCCTAATGGTGCACGTCTGCTCCGCACACTTCGCCTGGCAGCGCTGCAAGCTCTCCTGACTCTCCTGAAGCCTCTGTTCGGCCGCCGTCAAGGAATCTCGGACTTGCACTACCTCCTGCAGATGAGACTCCATCTGGCCTCTCATCTGAGTTGTGGCATTAGGGGAAATAAGCGCAAAATCACAATTTCAGCATGTAGAGTCTTACTATCTTAAATACTATATATGCTTGTTACATAACAAGTATTTTAGGCTTAGTGGTGTCAAAACTATTCATCCAAATAAATATGAATGAGTATTAATTTAGATTTTGCTACATGAGTACAAGTAACTAAAAACTAGGTTGGTCTTTAGTTTTCAAAAACTTTGTTCAGCAAATAAATATGGTAGTTTTAGCACGCAGCACATGGTGAGATGTTAAACCTACTTCGGAAAGCAAGCTTTTTGAAGTTTGTTATTATATGCAAGAATAGATATTATTACTAATGAAGTTGGTACACTAGTTTCCCACTGTCCACCCTCAGGTCTAATATAACCATCAACTTCTGTCACTTAATATTATAACTCAGATATTGAACTAAATTAAAACAGCTCTGCCCCATGCATGCTGGCTTAAATTGGCTTACTATATACTACATCAAGACAGCTAACATCATCAGTTTTCATTGGACCATATTTCATCATTTTTATCATGAAAATATCTTTCTAACTTTAATCACCCTGCCTGCTATAGCTCTTCACTGTGGCACTTTTGCAATATAAAGCAAACTTAACAAATGATTGTATTGCTAGTTTTTTTTTTTTTTAAAGCCAGACATGACATTTATTATGTTCAAAAGCAGGAAAAACAAGAGAGAGAATCTTTCCCTGAGACAGGGAACAACTACAGTTTCTGCACAGTGTCTGCCAATCCTGATCATAAAATATAAAACCAGGACAAAGCATGCCTTTGTGTTTAACAGTCCATGAGAAAACCAGGAGACTTAAAGAATTTCATTTAAAAATTTTTTTTCTGGTTGTAGACCAGTAAGTAAAAATTGTGACCTCACAGTGGCTGGAAATCACAGGGTCCTATCTTTTCATCTTTGGAGCAGGTTTTACACATGGGCTTCTTATGGTGCTATCTAGGATACGAGGAAATGTGCATTGAAATGTCTTATAGGAAAGAGGCCAGAAAACATGAGATGTGTCTTCTCTGGTCTGCTAAGCTAAAAATGAGTGAAAAATAATTCTAAGGAAGTAATACGCTGCACGCTCGATGGGCATCTGTGTCTGGTAGTATGCCTGCTCTGACACTTTCTTCACAGTGATGCTTCACTCTTTTTTCAATCCCAAGCAGAGGGTGTCCCAGCGATGATAACCTTATTATACGCAGTTGGAACGGAACACTAATATCCCTTGACCTCTCCAGCCAGGGGTCAGCTTCCGACAACTTTCACTGCTTCCTTACCAAAACATGACATTCCAAAAAGGGATGCGGTTTCAGTGAAAAACTTAGAAATATTCACAAAAACATCATTACTTGCCAGTACTGGCATTGCCTTCATTCTGTTGCAACAGGGTGAATGAAAAGAAATGGTGGCTTATTTTTTAAGATATCATTTTTCTTCCAAAAGTGCATGTAGCAGAGAATATTTACTTTGTAATGTTTTAAACACCAAAGATTTATAATCAGAAAAAAAGGTGGCTAACGAATCTCAGTGATAATCAATTTTTTAAGTTTAAATGTTTTTGTATCAGAAAATTAAACATTTACGCCATGCATCAAAATTTCTTTTAAAAAAGTGAAAAAGTATCCACATAAACAACTTTTCAAGGTTGGAAGAAATATTACTTCCTCAGATGAGAGAAAAAGAAAACTTCTACAGAAATTGAAAATGGACCACTCCTACACATGAACCAGAAAAAAATTACTGAAATGAAAGAATTTTATAATATTCATAAAATTAAAAATTATTTTATTGTTTGAAATTTCAAGCTTACCATCTCTAATTTTTTATTTTTGGTTTCTGTTATTAGGTTATTTTCATGTAGCAAATTTTCATATTTGCTTTTTACTATTTCAGCTGCTTCTTGCAACTTTTGTACCTGAAAGTAAAATATATTGTTAGAGCACCATAGATTATGTTATTATTAGAGCTACAGCATGGAAAAAACCTAAAAAGTAAAGTTTTTATTTTAAATAAACCATGTTAATCCCTACCAATGTCATCATGTTTATCTAATGTTATTCCTTCTTTAAATATGGAATCACTCAGTGCTCTACTCTAATCCATAATCCTTTTGTGATTTACCTGTTTTCTGCCAATAATAGTTATAAATTTGTTACTTAAGCTCTGGGCTATAGAGATCTTTATCTGCAGGCAAGTGCCACTTCAAGGAATCAGTCTCTGATCCAAAATGGTTTTCATTCTGGTAATTTTTCTTGTCATTTTGAAATCTCCAAAAATGTGAGTACTTTTATATAAGTTCTAGCAGTTAGAATATGGTATCTAAGCTACAGCATTTTTGCTGTGGGATTATTCCTGAACAATCAGGTGAAAAGACTCAGATGACCCTCTTAATAACAGACCCAAAGTCTTCCAAACTAACTGAATGTCTCATCTCCATTTTCCTATCAATCCATTGAGATACAGCCCTTTCCTATTTGCCTAGATTTTGCTCCAACTTAAGCTTTTACCCTTAGTTCACTATTCCTTTTTGATTTCTGGTGATCTGGGAACTGAACCTCAGGGCCTTTTGCATGCCACATATAGCCCCATCCCCAACCTGTCACTACTCTTTAATTCAAAGTCTCTTCCAATGAAATTGAGATTTTTTTTTTGTACTGGGGTGTAACACACGACCTAGCATTTACCAGGCAGGTGCTCATGCTGCTGAGCTAAATCCCCGGCCTGAAATCGAAACCTTTAATGACCAGTTTGTTTCTCATCATGTATCTGTGTAAGTCTCATTTTTTTTTTCCATAAGTTTTTCTTGAACACTACATTTCTAAAACATTCAGCTTTTCTATAAATTGTTATGAATATATGCTCTATTTTATATGCTATCATGTTTTCTCTGTAGGTCTTTCATGTGACTAAATCTGAACTATACTTTCTTTATTGGGAAAAGGGATATACTGGTATTTAAAGGCCCAAGCGGAAAGTCATTATTCTAACAATACAATTAAGCATAAAGGATGACAAAAAGTATAACCAATATTAAGATTTTACATTAAGATTTCACATTATACCCACATAATTAATACTAAATCTAGTTAAGAAATTATAATTTATACACAGGCAGGTTTCAATTGGGAATTGTCAGAATTACCTTTTTATAAAGCTATTTGGGATCTTAAGATATGTTTCAGGGCCTAAGGATGTAGGTCAGTGATAAAACACGTCCCTAGCATGTACAAGGCCCTGGCTTTGGTCCCTAACAAAGCAAAAGCAAACAAAAACATGTATGCTTGGGATATATTATATTACAAAATGATAGTCTACCTTTTTCAGTTCTGTTTATTTGAATCATAAACAAATACGATGCCTTAAATAATATACAAATTTTGACAAACATTAATATGCACACAGTGGTCACCTGAGCTTTATATATTTCAATAAGGTCTTTCTGCCGTTTTTCTATTTCTTGCAGTTCTAAGAGTTCATTTTCAACAGAAACAACTTCGTCTTGCAAAGCAGTAAGTGTGGTCTACAAAAAAATGGAGAACAGATTTTATAAATCATTAGGATGCATTACATTCCAGTCTTACAGAATTATAAAAACATAATTCATCAACAAAAGTAACAAAACAATTATTTTTATTACATACAATTATCATCTAAAATTTAAAATGCTTGAAAAGTTACAGAATAACACTTGTGAACAAATTTAATTCAGATTTACACAGCACATTACATTTTTTAAAAAAACTTTTAAAACTCACCGAACAAAGAGGACTAAGAACATAGCCTACTGTCCTGGAGAGAAAGAGTCAATAATTGCTGCCCTAACAGTTAATCCAAAATTTTATTCCGAAAATTTTTTTGGAACTGTTTTACTCCGAAACAGTTATTCCAAAATTTTACAGTTTCAACCAAAATTATAAAGAGTTGGGATATACTCATTGAAGAATAGAAAACAATATAATTTTGAAAGGAATACTAGGCAGAAAATATCAGTGTTTACTAGTTATTAAAAAGAAACAATTCAAGTATTAAACATGAATACAGAGAATGATAGAGAAAAAAGGATACACAAAAATTATACTTAGTTCACTGGTACCTTAGCTGACCAACTTAATTCATTCTATGGTTCAATAAAAGACAGCCACATTCCTGTTCACATAAAAAAGATGGCCAAGGTCTCACCTGTCACCAGTACATAGTTCACAAACAAAAACAAAATTTTGCCAAATGCTTCTGTCTGAAACCCACATTGTTTGCAAACAAAAACCTCTGTAAATGATGGTACCACTGTATATGGTAAAAACTGGATTTTTTGTTTGTGAGTTTTACTGGAAATTAAACACAAGATTTTTACACCAAGCTATACCTTTGGTCTTACCTATTTTTATTTTGAGACAAAGACTTGCTAAGTTGCTAAACTACCCAGGCTGGGCTCAAACTTGGTATCCTCTTGCCTCAGCCCCTGGTGTATTGGGGTTACAGGCAAGAACTCCACACCCACCTAAAGACTGGACTTTTAAGTCAATAGAGAAAACATAGGTCAATAAATAGATGATAAAAGATAACTATTTAACTATTAGAAAAAAATAGGTTAACTACATCTGCTTCAATCCAACATTAATGAAGTAAAAGGTGCATTAAAGATTAAATGTAAAAAAATCAACACTTTTGAAGATTCCAGGCAAAACAGTATTTGATTTCAGAATAGTAGAAACTCTACCAAGCATAATTTTTTTTAAATATCAAATTTTAAATGTCTGAGATTTTACCCCTCAGCAGGTTTACCATTTAGCCTCCTGGTTCCATGAATGCTAACAGAAGACACAATGCTAGCAGCATTCCATGAATGCAGTCTCTGGTCTCCTGTGCCAAGGACAGAGGACTTGATACTTACAGTGCTAAGAATAAGCAACACTGCCAGCATTTGGATCAACCTGTTGAATCCTCACAAGGGACAATAGCTTTGACCATGAGATGCAGTATGAGACAGCGAAAATGAATTTAGGAAACATAAATCTCTTAGGCAGTGGAGAAGGCGAGGGTAGATGCAAGGAAAATGCAGAGGAGTCATGACAGCAGCGAGGGAGGGATGGTGGGACCTGAGGTGGAACCGGGGGTGCTGCTGAGAAGGGATCAGATTTTGGATTTATTTGAGGCACATTTGCTGACAAAGTTTACAGTTCCCCGAAGTTTATCCTCTAGTCTTTCTTAATCATTTTTCATCTCATCCTTTACTTCACACCCCACTTCCTGTATGAGTGTCTTTATGAAGCACCTTTTATGAAGTGTATAAAAAATATGGTGAATCTTCTGCCAACTGGCATGCAACAGGAAAGAAGGCTCGTAACAACATTACAGGATGTCTTCATCCACCTTCATCACCAGATGTGGCACTAAGAGACTTCTGGCTCCTCCCGAGTCAAAATGACCATGGAGGAAATGTTTTGAATGGATTCAGGACATATCAAAGCAGCCTCGACAGTGTATCTAAAGACACAGAAAGGTCCTCCAGAACTGCTTCAGAAAGAAGTAAGAATCACGGGATCAGTGTGTTGGAATCAAGGGAGAGTATTTTGAGGGGAGATTAGTGACAGTGTGTTTTTTATCATAATAACTTTTTAAAATTTAAACACTCACTTCATTTTTAATCATACCTTACATACAATTCTATTTCTCAAAATTTATTCTAAGAAAAGAAGTATGCAAAAAAGACTCAAACTACCTACAAACAAAACAAAAACAAACCGTGAACAGTAACTGCAAGTTGCGTATGTTATAATCAATATCAAAACTTATATATGTTGAAATAGTAGTTTTACATGTCTTTTAATTGTGAGATTGAGTTATTTTTTAAAAATTTTCCTCGAGCAATTTTATTTTTCTTTTCTAAGTTTCCAAATAAAACTTTATATGCCTCCAAATAAACTTTTGTTATTTTTAATAGAAGGCCTTCCAAGCAATTATCAGTAAGCTATTTTTCATTTAAAACTTTAAAATTTAAAACTATTCCAAAGTTATTGGAACAAAATATAGACATCTAGGCAATTTTCCACTATAAATAACATGTGTATAACATAACTATTCTCCTTAAACTAAACTCCAGGAGATAATGTATTAAAATGCATGTTTCTGGATTACAAATAGAGTAATATGCAAAGAAACAAACTTGAACTCAATGACTTTTGTAATCTATTAATGTAAGGTAATTTCATTATCATGTGATTAAAATCTATTATTAGTGAAATATACTTCTAGTTCTTTCTCTTGGAAAGATATAAAAATTACAAAAATAAAATTGCTTCCTCTTTCCAGACAAGCAAAGACAAGCATTCATTCAGAACTGATGGAGCACAAGCTGTGTACGCTACCGCTGGACACTTGACTCTCAAAGTTGGTGGCTTACAAGCAGCGCTTCATCCTCACTGAGAAGACCCTGAGAGGAAGCAGCATTTGAACTGCACTTTACAGGAAAGAAAGGGTGTAGAGGCTGAGAAGGACAGCATTCTGAAGTGTGAAAACTGGGAAATTATAGAGGTAGATAAGGAAGCCAGCAAACAACTGCAGGAAATAATCAGTGCTCATAATCATTGGCGAGAGCTCAGGATAAGCTTGAAGTCTTCCCTGCAACTTGATGGGGTCATGGGTCTAAGTAAGTGAAAGATTCAAGTTATATGGGACTTCAGGAAGTCTCTTTAAAGGAAAAAAGGATAGAAGGAAATGGGAGTGAGGGAAAGGGAAAGAAGAAAAGAAAGGGGAGGAGAGGGGAAGAGGAGGGAGAAGGAGAGGGAGAGGAAGAATTCTAGAACTGTTAATTTTTTTTTTTTTGGTAAGTTTCTACTACATCCTAGCAAAGTTCACATAATGTAAAAGATGACAGAATTATAATTCTGCAATTATAAAATACAAACAAGATTGCATCTAGTATTTTTCCTTCCTTCATCTAAATATATAAACCTTGTTTATTCCACAATATTACTGTGTGATCTTATATAAGGTATTTACTCTCCCTGAACATCAATATATTAATCTATAGCTGAGAAAAATACAGCTCTGACATAAGAATCAACAGTAAAAACTGTAAAGCACTTATGAAATCACTTCCTCTACTAAGGGAGACTGATAAACAGTGGCCTTTATTGTTACTAACAATCATTTATGAAACGTTCCAGGCACAGCAGTAGGCACCAAAAATAAATGGACAATAAAAGGCACTCCCTGGTCCCGGATCCAGGGGATCAGGAAAAGTAGTAAATAAGAGAAGTCAAATTATGCACACAAGCAAAAGCAGTTAAGTTCTACATGTTAGCATCCACAGAGAAAAGTGAGTATAAAATGAGGACAGGGTTCAGTTATGCGCACTATCAGAGAACATGCCCCAGCAGCAAATAGAGTTAAAGAATCTTCTGGTGGAGGACTAACCCCACATTTCCTCATCTTACGAAGTCTGTTTAATAAAGTCAACAGACCGTTGGTCAACAAAGAACAAACTATTTTTGATGCTTCTGGAAAATGGATGCCTGATGAGTAAAGCAGGAATGGATTCAGCTAAGGAGGAAGTTCCTGCCCGCACAGATCCCGGTAGCCACAGGGCTGAAGACTGTGGACTGAGAAGGATCACTGCAAAGTCTGGGCTCAGAGCAGCCGAGAATCATTGCTCCCGCTGCCCTGTGGCACACTCCAGGCCCAGAACTGGCCTCCACCTTCATGGGCACACAGAGTGCACTGAGCCATGATGTCAAGCGGTGTTTGCTTCCCAAGAAAGAAAAACAAGGAAGGTTCTTCTCTAAAGAATCCAAACTAACTGTCAGGGAAAACTAGAACAGAGGGATGACATTGGTGCCTACAGCAAAAATGTACTTTTTAGAGGGCATTGGGGAAACTGCTGAATTCTCAACAGTTGAAGAAAGATAAGTGACATCCATCAGAGGTAAAGACCATCGACATATGAAAATTATAGCTTTTAGTTTCTCTTTTCTTACTAGTTTTTCTTTTCTCTCATTTGCAAATTTTTAAATGTTGTCACCAGACATTTGGGCAAAGAGAACAAAATAAGAAAGAAAAACCCCTCATACTTTTTCAGCTGAAAAAAGAAAGAAAAAAAGTGAACCAAGAAGAAACAAATTAGGAATCTGATACAGAAAATTGAGAAAACAATCCAGATGGGCATCTTCAGACATTTGATGACAGGAACATTCACAGAACATTTAAAAAAAATTGATCTGGATACAGTGCCTTGTATCACAGCTACTGGAAGCCGAGGCAGAAGAATCACTTGGGCCAAGAAATTCATGATCAGATTTGACACTGTGGTCAGACCCTATTAAAAATTTTTTGGAAATTAAATATTATGAAAAAATTATAAGATAATAAACAAAGAATCTCACAAAAGTTGAAAAAAAGCCAGGAATTGAAGACAATCAATCCTGGCAGGTCAACAAACAGCATTGTCAGCAGTACATCTAGGAAAAGAGACCCAAGGTAGAAAGGGGCAGAGGAGAGCACGCTACCAAAGAAACAATAGGA